TCATAGCAGTGCCACTCCCCAGAGTCCTCCTGCCGTGAGCCTGGTGGGTTTCCAGGTGGTGGCGGCTCTGGCAGCCCGGGCCCAGGAGTGACCCCGTGGGCACGAGTTAGCTCAGGGACCTTTGTTGTTTCGTCATTGCGGTTTTGGGGGTTCTCTGTTACAGTAAAGGAGATTATTCATGTCTGTGTGTGTATTACTTTAGACGAGGTCTCACCGTGTCGTGACCCTCCTGTCTCAGCCTTCCGAGTGGCTGAGACTACAGGCACGCCCCACCAAGTCCTGCTTTTTATTATTAGTTATTATTATTATTTTTAGAGATTTTTGCTATAGGGTGCATATGCTCACCGGAGAGACAGAGATAGAGAGACAGAAAGCAAGAACTCGCCCCTGAGGAAGGATGGCCATGCTACAATCCCTTCTCCTCCATTCTCCTCTTGAGAGGAGAATGCACATACACGCACCCAGTGTGTTTCAAGCCTCCAAGTCTGGGATTTGAACTGTAGTCAGCCACGTAGGAGTCCAGAGCCTTAACCACTATGTGACCTGTTGACCCCAGTGCCACGATTTTTTTTTTTTTTGCTATAAGGCGTGTGCGCTTGCCAGACAGAGAGAGAGAGACAGAGAGATAGAAAGCAAGAAATCGCCCCCCAGGGGGGATGGCCACGCCGCAATCCCTTCTCCTCCATTCTCCTCTTGGGATCTTGGGCACACATGTACACACGCCCGGCGTGAGTTTAAGCCACCGGGTCTGGGATGCAAACCGCGGTCAACTACGTGGGAGTCCAGCGACATCGTCATTACACTAACTGCTGGTCTCCCCAGTGCCACAATTTTTAAAGATACAGAAATTGAGCCTGGGCCTCCCACGTGGCCTCAGCCTGCCAGGAGGAGTGGCCTCAGCTGCCACGCACTCAGTTGCACTCAGTCTTGAATGAGTCTCCAAACAGAACCACGCAATGACTGAGGAGAGCCCCGTGGGTAGAGATGGTTTTCCTTTTTCTTAAATTAAAATTTGACAAATCTTTCTATAAATTAATGTGATGGGGGGCCAGCAGATTGTCCCGTGGTTAAGGTGCTGGACTCCCACATGACTGACTGTGGTTCAAGTCCTGGCCCTGGTGGCCTGCTTTCTCACGTTCCCTTTCTCTCTCCTCGGCTCACTCTGGTGAGCACATGTGCAGTACAGCAAGTTAAAATAATAATAATTATTATTATTATTTAGGGAAAAAAATGTGAAAGGTGCTTTGAAGGGAAGCAAGTTGCCTCTTACTGGAAATAGTGAAACAGACCAGGCAAGCTCTTGACAGACGCTGCTGAAGCAGAAGGGTAGACGGTGGCTGGGTGAGCCTTAAGGCCCGTTCTAGTTTAAAGGAGCTTAGCGAGGCCTGGGGCAGGTGTTACACCTGACACCTGCGTGGCAGGTGGGCTTTAGGAGATGTCTCCGCCAGTGTCAGCTTATTCGTTCTGTGAATTTACTTCAGGGGTTTACCTGCTGTGCCTGCCATGGGAATTAGTACAGGTGCTAAGAAAAATGGGTTTTGTGAGAAGCAAGATAACTCCTTACTATGGGATTCCATAGTAACCCATATTAGTATTTTTAAAACACTTTTTTTAAAAAAGAATTATTTATTTAGTTTTATTTATTAGTATTTTAAATTTGCTATAGGGCGCATGCACTCACCAGAGAGAGAGAGAGAGAGGGAGAAGGAGAGGGAAAATGAGAAAGCGATCTTCCAGGTCTGGACCATGGTCAGCCATGTGGGAGTCCAGTGCCTTAACCACCACACCATCTGCTTGCTCCACATTAATCTTTTTAAATTTCTTTTTAAGTTTACTTATTTACTCCTTCCATGGGAGAGGGACAGAGACAGAGAGGAAGAGGCACTTTCATCAGGGGACCCAGGCTGCAATCTGCCCCAGCCTCCCCCAGCCAGGATCACAGGTACATCTGCATGTCTGGGGTGTACAGGGAGACTTAATGAAGCAGACCAGGGGCCTCCTGTGTGACTCCAGCGTCGTGGAGTGCCGCGCACCACGGTGTCATCGCGGTTGGCCACACTTTTATCTGTAAACAGACATTTCTGGTTACTGCGATGCTGTTTTGAATTAGCCTTTATTTTTTAGATCACTGTCCATTCACGTACATTTGTAAGTAATAGCATGGACAGCGCCCGTAACCCTTACCCACGGTTGTCCTGTGGGCATACTACATAACTAGGGTACACCTTCAAAGCCGGGATAGTGAAGCTGATACCGTCAATGGACCAGCAGGTGGCATGGTGGTTAAGGTGTTGCACTCCCACAGGGTTGAGCATGGTTCGAGTCCTGGACCCAGCTGCTTGAAGCACACCAGCTTGTGAGTGTGTGCCCAAAATCCTGAGAGGAGAAGGGGTTGCGGTGTGGCCATTCCCCATGAGGGTGATTTCTCACTTTCCCTCTCTCTGTAGCTCTCTGTCTCTCTCCTCTCTGTGACATGCCATATGACAAAAACCTAAAAAAATAAAATAAATGTTGATACAGAACAGTTGTGTCATTTTTTCCTGGAGAGAGAATGGTAGGATCTAAGAAGGATGCCGCAGCATCATCCTCCTTGGAGTGACGATTAGAACTCCTAATAAAATTTCGACCCTGGGGCCAGCAGATGGCCTAGTGGTTATGTCGCTGGACTCCTACATGGTCAACCACAGTTGGAGTCTGGATCTGGTAGCTTGAAAACCACACCCAGCATGTGTGTGTGTGTGCCCAAAATCCTGGAAGGAGACTGGAGGAGAAGAGATTGTGGCATGGCCACCTCCCCCAGGGGATCGTTTCTTACTTTCTCTTTCACCGTCTCTGTCTCTCCAGCAAGTGTACATGCCCTAAGACAATGATCTCTTAAAAAATTCAATTTTTAGTGAAGTAATGATCGTTAATGGTGTAAATGTA